ATATTTTAAAAACATTCATTAATTTATCAAGATGATAATAGCCTTAACTTCACACTGATATGAAATTTCGTTTATTTCCTTTTTTTCGTAGTTACATCAGCAATATCTACAAGCTATCTTAGGTCTTCCAATGTTAGCTTAGCCTAAAAGCTCCTAACTATTTTTATTTTTATACAGAGATTTCGTCCAGAGAAAACATTTTACTCACATGTAAGGTTCGTCTTCATTTCATAAATTATTTTCAAGTATAAATATCATCTTTTTCAAATTTTTTATCTATAATTTCATAAAATTTAGCGTAGGTCTGCTGGTGGTGGTGGCTGGTTTACCCTACCTGGTATGTCCTGGTTTAGTTGGGAGGCAGTGACGCTTCTGGTTTGGAGAGTTGCTGTAGGTGTTTCGTCGAGTAGCTGTCTCAATCTTTGCAACTGGGCCTCAAGCTGTCTGTTGTGGTCTTCTAGAATTTGCATACGGGCTTCTAGACGGCCTTTGTGTTGTCTTAAAAGCCTGGCTTCAGCCAAAACATCGTGATGAGGCTGTTGAGGAGGATGAGGATTGGCACCTCTCTGAAATATTGAAGATACATACCGTTAATATACGTTTTTCGAATAAACGAAAATAAACAAGAACTTATAAAAAAATGTCTATACCTAAGAACTTAATGTCTATATTTAAGAACTTATAATTAACACAAAGAAAAGAGGTTGAAAAAAGATTTTGTAGAATATCCCAAATTTTAAATTTTGAGAATAAGAAAACTAAATTAAAAAAAAACTTTTTCTAAAATTCCAAATAAATCTGCCATACACAGGCATACAAAATTAATTCTGAATACCTGAAGTTGTTCGTATTCTGATCTCAGAGCCTGATTCTCCACCTCCAGTTCTCTGATCATTTCCTGAAGTTCAGCTCGTTGTTCTTCGTCGATGACCAGCATTAATTGCCCAGGACTAGCAGGTGCGCCCTCTAGCGAGTGACAGTAGTCCGCAATAAGTCTGTGTTCGTCATCTGGAGATGCGGCCCTCAGTTCCACTTCCGCCAATCGTGAAGCGTATATTTCCAACCTGTAATATAGTATTATGACAGTTTAATGTCCTACTCAATCACACAAAATTAAAATAATTTAAAGCAAGGACATTTTTTCAGTATTCAACGTGAAACAAATTAATAAAGTTGGTCATGTTTGAATTATTATATGCTGAATTTAAAAGTAACCTTTCAGTACAGTTATCTAAAAAATATTATTTAGTAATGTTTAAAACTTGTTAAAAACTTTTTATTTTTGTTTTGTACTATGTTAAAAACATTTAAAAAGATTGACTATACCAGGTGGCGTCTCAAAAGTGGTCCACCCTAATAACTTTTCTATTTTTTCAGATAAAAAAAAACGAGATTTGGTATGTTAATATATGACATAAATTAGGATTGATTGACGTAATCAATTGTTTTTGGTCACTTCCTGTTTCACCGGAAATTACTACAACTTTTAATCTTTAAATGGCACCCTCGGTATATTTCTACTTTATTCGATAGAAAATGACACTCTGAATGACATACCATATGTCAATTTTTGACATTTTAGCTTTAAAAAAAATCGTATTTCAATCTAGAGCGCCATGGATGTATTAAAAACACTAATTTTTAATCAAGAAGAATAGATTTGATCATCTAATGCTTTTCGTGTCTTGTTCTGGCCGGCTAAACGATGCCCAAATCGTATTTTTAATCATATCTTAATTTTTTGAAATGGAACAAGTGTAGGTCATTAGCATATTTGAAAAAAAAAATTTTACGAATAATTTGATACCACACACTTGGTATTTCGAGTCAAATTGTCGTTATGAACCGCATGTTACAATTTCAAATAAACCATATGCGAAAATGTCAAAAGTTGACATATGATATGTCATTCTATTCAGAGTGTCATTTTCTATATCGAATACAGAAAAAAAATTCCGAGAGTCTCACTTAAAAATCAAAAGTTGTAGTCATTTTTGGTGAAACAGGAAGTGACCAAAAACAATTGAATACGTCAATTAATTCCAATTTATGTCATATACTAACATACCAAGTCTCGTTTTTTTATAGGGGTGAGCCACTTTTGGTATATACCCGGTATATACCTCCTGAAATTTTAAGCATTTTTTTTGTTGATTAGCTAAATTTGTTTTATTTTTCATTTTGTAGATTTTCTTCTAGTGGCGAAATCCTAAAAGTATTCATTTCCCAAAAGTTTTTTATTTTAGTTTTAAAAAGTTTTAAATAGTTTCAAAAATAATTATTAAAAGTGCTTTAAAGACATTTAAAATTCTTGTTTAACAATACAAGAATATGGCGATTGTTCATTCTGAAACGTAACAAACTGTATTACCTACATGCAATCTATAAACTTTACCAAGTTACCTTGAATGCATATCATTATGCTGAGGTGAAGCCACGGGACTCTCCAACTCATCCCCTTCCAATACCGACCTAACAGGAAGATATCCCATACGAGGGTGCTTCATAAAGTACCTTTTACTCTTAAACTTGTTCTTCAGAGCTTTCGTAAAATCTCTCATATCCTCTATAGAAGTCGTTGCGGCGCAATACTCGTGCATCGGATGGGTCAACTTGTGTCCCTTGGTCAACTTTCCGGAAAAGAAGCAGGTCTGACACATGTCGAAATTGAAGCACTTCAAGCAGCGGTATCGCAGACCGGTGATGGGATACTGCTTGCAGGAGTTGCATTTCGCTTGGTGACGTGCACTTTCCGCTGCTGCGATTCGGTGTAGAACCGGAAGCCAGACCAAGGATTGTGGCTCTTGTTTTAACCAGGCTAAGAAATGTGCTGCTTCTAAGTCTTCCCTCTCTCCTGTTGGGAATTAATTATTTTGCTTAAATCGTTTATGATAATATATCAGTAATTACAAGATATGAGATTCGGTAAGCATCAAAAGGTTATTTTAAATTCGTTGATATCTATCAGAACGAAAAAGTTATGGTTGGTTAATTCTAGTGATGGGAAAAACCGATTAATTTCAATAATCGAGCACTCGACTTTCAAGCGATTTCAATAGTCGAGCGAAATATCGCTCGTATTTCAAAATACAGTTTTTCACCCGTCGCTTGTTGTGAGTACTCGTTAACGCCAAGCAGTAAGTTGCGTGCGCAGAGCATATATTCTTTCGGTGATGAATGGCAAGTAGCAAGCGACGAGCGATTCGCTTGATCGCTTGATTTAGTTTATTCCAAAGCATTGTCGATGTAGGTCGTAAAATTTGTCTCTCAGATACGCAACGGATAACGTCGTATAACTTTGCTATCTGCAATGTATGTAAAAAATTTGCTAGGCTTTTTATAGAGTATGTCACATTAAAATTGGATATCAATTTATTTCATTCTAGCATCGCTTGCGTTTGTCGCTCGTAGCTCGTCACTTGCATCGCTCATTCATAATCGAACGATGTCGGTTATTTCGATAATCGAGTACTCGAGCGAATTTTCATAATAAACGTCTTTGCGCTAATAACATAACCCCATGTTGCTATTTGTGTAGAGAAGACGCGTATCAATGACTAAAGAATATAAGGACATGTAACGCCCCTATACGGGCTACAGCAGAATTTGTGACCTTACAGACCTTTCTTTTGGTGGCAAACAATGAGTCATCATTTTGTCACCAGCGACAATTTTAGGGATTTTTAATAGTTTGTGTGTAGTAAAGTTTGTATAAACTTTATTACAAAGGTGATTAGTTGTTCAGCTTTCAAATGTAAAAGCAGCAACGATAAGACATTAGAGTTACGTTTCATAGGTAAGTAAACAGTCCACTCCAACTTTTAGCGTTTTCTTATTGAATTCGGATAATTATTTTTCAATTTCAATTAACATCTATATGTACTTGATATGTGCTATACGTCGATACTAGTTTGTAATTTGTTAACATTTTAATACGTTTTTTCGTAATTAATTAGGATGATACACCATAGGCGTAGTCAAACATCAAAAATATAACATTGCTTCAAACAGCTAGGTTAAGAAAAAATATGTGCCACGGCACTGTTTGGTGACATCGGCACAATTTGCTCTCGTGTGTTTATTTGTTCTTGGATTCTTTAGTCATTGATTGAGATACTATGCTTTTTAAATATAAACAAATGTCAACTTTTCTCTTAAATTTCCAGTTATGGCAAGCAGTGAAGTAAAGAAACATATATAGTAAAAAAATTACATTACAGTTAAAGTACTTACCTAAACAACTTCTGACGCTGGGTTCAATATTAGACCCACCAAAAGCAGCGACCTCTCCAAGCTGTCTGGGTACCTGCAAAATATCATGTAGAAGCAGTCCCAGCTTCCTTTGATCAGCTTTTTGCTGGGGATCAGCAATCAGCCTAAATAAATATCTGTATTTGTCTTCCAAGTGACCTCTTGACAGCAATGTTAACCCAACCTGTATAAATAACTTTCAAATTAATATTTTTTCGAGTAAAAAGATTGTTTATCATGTACCTTAAAACTAAGTACTCTAAGTTGCCCTGTGCGCTGACTATCATAAACATTTAGCAGCCAGTTTAAAGCTAAATCTACACATAGTGGAACATCTATAATAGCTTGTTCTTGTGATGCAATATTTCCATAAATTGCTCTGAGAACTAGTATCATATCTGCCACATCTGAAAAAATATATTAAAAACTATAATTTACGAATTAAAGATTTTTTCCTTCTAGAAAAACTAACCTAAAATTTTGTCATTTTGTGCCCTCAATCCATGCAAATCAAAAGCTTCAGACACTGTACTAATATTGACTATGTCCAGACACAGCTTCTTTTGTATTGTCCGTAATTTTAAAGCTGTCCTGTACGCAGAATATCTGACTTCGTTTAATTGTAACAAACATATCGCCAACTCCAACATTTGCGGATGATCCCAGTGTGTAGTTTCAGTGCTGTGGTTTATGTAGTATGGTACTTTGTTGGGTGTTGTAGCGCGTTCCCATGGTGGTTGGACACTGGAAGGTCCAGGTGATATTTCTCCTACAATAATGTACCATCAAGATTTTCAGTTCAATATACAGGGTTTAAAAAAAAAGTGTAGAGAAAATAAGGAGCTAAGGCCACAATAGTATGAACATAATATTTCAAAATGTTTACAAATGTTAAACCTTGAGATCTAAATAGAATTTTTAGGGTAGAATTTTATTTAAAAAATTTTTAATTTTTAATTAAGAATATACAGTATCTTCTTGTCATAAATACAGCTGTCCTCAAGAATATTAAATCTGTCAGTTTTCTGAAGAGTAAATTTAATGACACAAAAAATAAAAATAATTACCTTGAGAACTGCTAGTTAAAACTTCTCTCCTTTCCCTTATTGCAGCTTGTAATGCTCTACACCTGGCAGCACAGTCCTCCAATTGGCTAGCTAAATTATTGGGCAAAGCATTACTTAAACTTGTGGCCTGAATTCTAGCCTCCTCCAAAGACCTTTGAAGAGGGGGCAACTGTTGCTCCAAAATTCTCAAATTGCTCAGTAATTCTCTAGCCTCTGCTGCACTTCTTGGACCACTCCAAGTTAATGTAGCTCTTTCCAAACGTGAGACTGCTGAACAAGCTTCTTCCAGATTGAGGGTCAGCTGCTTGAGTTTCTGTTAGAAATAAATTTGCAAACTTGTAATTAAGTAATAGAAAATGTATTTTACAATAGAGTTTTGTTCAAATTTAGCTGCTAATTTATCAGATTTGTCAATGAGAGCATTCCATTTATCGGAAAGCTTAACAAGTTCTCTCCTCAAGTTTCTAGCTAACTCTCCTGATGGATCACCTGCAACAAACTGTCTTGCACTTCTTAAACTGGCCTCAACCAAAGGCCTCTTGTCCTCAAGTTGTTGTCTACAATTTATAAAAAAATTAAGATATTAAACCAACAGAAAAAGAATAATTTCCTTGCCTAAAAGCCCTGTGATCATCTTGTCTAGCAGCTAAACCAAGTTCAGTATCTTTTCTGATAACCCATTCTGTGAGTTCTCTTAGTGATAATAATACTGTGTTCCAATAATCAGCATTGTGCTCCAAACGGTTCCTTAGGTCAGCTGTATGAGTCTTCAGAGCCTAGATATTGAATTAATTACCATAACACTTTTACATTACCTTTATAGTTAGTTGTTTTTTAATACCTGCCATCTTCTCTCCATCTCATCTCCACGCAATTGTACCATAAGAGCATCTTCAGGAGATAAAGTACCTAAAAGAGCTAAATTCGATGATCTTAAAGCAGCATGAGTTGGTGCTTGTCGTTCAATATCAGCTTGAATTTCTTTAAGCTGATGGGCTGCTCTTCTTGATTCTGTATCCCCCTCCAAGGTTTCCACAACAGATTCAACTTCACTAAGCCACGCTAAGAATTTATCTAATGATCTATCAAAGTTTTGTAGCGAGCTTAAAGCTGAATGTAATAGTTTTCCGCGATTAACAATACAAGCATCTAAGCGTAAGTAATGTTGATTGATATATTCAGCTGCCTACAAAATTATGCCAAAATAGATATTATTTTATCTATGGAAATATTAATTACACAACCTTTTTGTAGCGACTTATATCTTCATGTTGATGTGCAGTAATCAGTCTTTGAGTAATTTGTTGAAATGACTCTATTTGTGCTTTAAATTGATGCAATTCGGCATGTAAACCTTTTTGTTCCCTTATCTGTAACTCTAAAACATCAGCTGTATGACCCACTGGAGCAATACTGGCAATTCTTGATTCCATCCTTTGTAGCCATACCCTATTTTATTTTAACAATAAAATTAACTCAGTTAAAATAATAGAAGCTAGAAAACTGTAATTTTAAAGGGTTAAATTTAGTTGTAATGCAAAACTGTGTCAACTCATATTTTAATTAATTTATTAGTGTCATTCTTAAAACACTTTAATTAATTCTGCAAGCGTAATAGTTATGTAAATTTAATTTAAAAAAAAAAAAAAACTTTAGAATAATTTTAATACAGGATATCTATAAATAATACATTACCTCCAGATCTAACTTTTTCTGTTCAAAACTCTCTTCCTTCTTCTGCATCTTTGATGTTTTATAGATATTTTCGAACTCTTATAATATAAGGAATAAATTAATCATCACTAGATTTTTTCATTTTCATAGATTTATAGGCGTTTAAACAGATCAATGTTTACAGCCTTTAAGGTAAATGACCGCGCATCTTAATATCGAATCACGCCCTTTAACTATATCCTGCAAGTTTATCATGAATAAATATAAGCTCACATTTGTGTTCTTTAAATTAATGCATAAACTTTATGTTGACTTCATAGCTATTTTTATAAGCATTTATAAATATAATTTTCAAACCACCAAAACAAAACACTACTAGCCAAAAATGACAGAAATTTTGACAACTCACTTCTTCTTTTTTATATATTTTATGGGCCTAAGCTGCTAGGACCGCTATTATCAGCCTTGCATCATATATAAATCATAAAATAATGACATTTCATAGTCCAATTGGCTTAATTTTGAACTACCAGAGGAAAAACCAAACTATTCTAAAAGACGAATTTTGTGTCATTTGGAAGTAACCCTACTTTTATGCCTTACATAACCTTAGATTTTACGACAAAATCTTTACTCTTTATGCTGGATTCAGAGTTCCGTAGCCGTAAGACGTAAGCCGTATCGTTAAGACGTAAGGGATATCGACCTTCACAATCATATGATTGCGTTCATAGATCTCCGTATGCCGTAAGCCGTATGCCGTAAGACGTAAGAAATGAACCAATTTTAAATTCTTACGTTACGTCTTATCGAATCGGGTGTTGTCGGCTAGGTTCGGTGGTACTCGGTAGCCATCTCTACAACTTTTATAATATATTTCACAGATATTTCACTTCGGCAACGAAAATATAATTGTCCGTGTCCATTTACCAATTAAATTAATACACAAAAATAAATAAGGAGTATTATAGTTTTATTCACAACATTCACAACCCAAACAACAACATAACCTATTAAAAACGGTAATGCGCACGCTTACGATGAAGTTATCGTTACGTCTTACGACAACTATGAATTGCTTTCCCTGCGTCTTAAGTCTTACGGCTAACGATACGGCTTACGTCTTACGGCTACGGAACTCTGAATCCAGCATTACTCTTCCTTAAATATGACTGTTTTTAATATTCTAAGAGCTTTAAAAACCGTCTCTAGACAGTCATTGCACACAAACAGTATTATAATAGTAAGTATTATATATTTTTAAACTCTCACTTTTATTTTGTATATGTAAAAATTTTAGTGTCCAGTAAGGTCTATGTCAAGCAATGCAAAGTTTGCAGACCACAAAGATATCACAAAAATAAGAAATATTGGAATATCCGCTCACATAGATTCTGGAAAAACTACATTAACTGAAAGAATTTTATTCTATACTGGTCGCATAGATTCTATGCATGAAGTTAGAGGTAAAGACAATGTTGGGGCAACGATGGACTCTATGGAACTTGAAAGGCAAAGGGGAATAACTATTCAGTCTGCCGCTACATACACTCTTTGGAAGGATCACAATATTAATATAATTGATAATCGGGTCATGTGTAGATTTTACTGTTGAAGTAGAAAGAGCTCTTAGGGTATTAGATGGTGCTGTCTTAGTTTTATGTGCGGTTGGCGGAGTACAGAGTCAGTCATTGACGGTAAATAGGCAAATGAAGAGATACAATGTTCCTTGTATAGCTTTCATTAATAAATTAGACAGAATGGGAGCAAATCCAAATAGAGTATTGTCTCAAATGAGGTAGGTCAAAGAAATACAATAAAAAATACTTGAAAGTTTTTTTGTAGGTCAAAACTTCGCCACAATGCTGCATTTATTCAGTTGCCTATTGGTTTGGAAAGTGACTGTAAAGGTATAATAGATATTGTAACTCAAAAAGCGATTTATTTTGATGGAGATTATGGAGACCAACTGCGGTATGAGGACATTCCTGCTGATATGAAAACAGAAGTTAAAGAGAGACGCCATGAGCTCATAGAGCACCTCTCAAATGTTGATGACGTTTTGGGTGAATTGTATTTAGAGGAAAAAGAAATAACTGAATCAGATATTAAAGGTGCTATAAGAAGGACATGCTTAAAGAGAACTTTTACCCCAGTTATGACAGGCACAGCATTGAAAAACAAGGGTGTACAGCCACTTTTAGATGCCATTCTCGATTATTTACCAAACCCTGGAGAAGTAGAGAACTATGCTATTAAGGAAACTGCAGAAGACTCAGAACCAGAAAAAGTTTTATTGGATCCGGCACGTTCTAATGATAAACCATTTGTGGCTTTAGCTTTCAAATTAGAAGCTGGAAGATTTGGCCAGTTAACATATATGAGATGCTATCAAGGCCAGTTATCAAAAGGAGACACAATCTTTAATGCTCGTACCCAAAGAAAAATTAGAATTGCTAGGTTAGTCAGAATGCATTCAAATCAAATGGAGGATGTTACTGAGGTTTATGCTGGCGATATTTTTGCCTTGTTTGGAGTGGATTGTGCCAGTGGAGACACATTTGTAACAGATCTGAAACATCACTTATCATTAGAGTCAATATTTGTGCCTGAACCTGTCGTTTCAATGGCTATTAGCCCTGTAAATAGTAAGGACAGAGACAATTTTTCAAAAGCCATAGCTCGTTTCACTAAGGAAGACCCCACGTTCCACTTTTATTTCGATAGTGACAATAAAGAAACTCTTGTGTCTGGAATGGGTGAATTACATTTGGAAATCTATGCTCAAAGAATGGAAAGGGAATACAATTGTCCAGTACTCTTGGGAAAGCCCAAAGTGGCATTCAGGGAAACCCTTGTATCATCATGTGAATTTGATTATCTGCATAGGAAGCAGACAGGTGGACAAGGACAGTATGCCAGAGTTATAGGTGTATTGGAACCATTACCCGCGCATAAGAACACTGTGTTAGAATTTGTTGATGAAACAGTTGGTACTAACGTACCTAGGCAGTTCGTTCCTGGAGTACAAAGAGGATTTTTGACGATGGCGGAAAAAGGTTTGTTGGCAGGACAGAAATTGGCCGGTGTAAAGTTCAGACTCCTTGATGGTGATCATCATATTGTGGATTCCAGCGAATTGGCGTTCTTTTTAGCTGCTCAGGGAGCTCTTAAAGAAGGTAAGAGATATATGTCACATTTATTAAATAAATTTCAAATCGATAAACCAACATTGTAAATTGTAAAGTGTAAAAGTAAGTAAAAAAATATCTCAGTATACACACTGACACGCTGAGTCACTCTATAAAAAGGACTCAAATGTTCAATAACTTTGTATCACCCAGTATTGTAGTACTTTATTTGTTTTAACGATGAATTTTTTTAGTGTTTGAAAAAGGCAGCTGGCAAATTTTGGAACCAATTATGACTGTGGAAATAAATGCCCCCGATGAGTTCCAAGGTGCGGTGATGACCCAACTAAATAAAAGGCACGGTATAATTACTGGTGTAGAAGGAACTGAAGGCTGGTTTACACTCCACGCGGAAGTTCCCTTAAACGAAATGTTTGGATACGTTGGAGAGTTAAGGTCGAGTACACAGGGCAAGGGAGAATATACAATGGAATATAGTAGATACACACCATGTTTACCAGAAGTTCAAGAACAACTGATACTCAATTACCAAAAAAGCCACAGGTCGATACAAGAGAAAAGATCAGAAAAGAAAAAGAAATTAATATTAAACATAAATAGTATATAATTTGTATGATATTTAAGTTCAAAGAGGAATGTATGATGTGTTAAAGATTGGTTCTTAAATTATTTACAGTTATTTTGTTATTAAACAGTAAATAACAAAATAACTGAAAAAAATTGTACTTTTTTATTGGCAATGTAATATAAATATGTCATTTTTGTATATAATTTATGAAATAAAAATAGAAAATTATTTTTTGTAATATTATGCAAGGCAACATAATATATAGGGTGAGTCAACAATAGGGCAAAATTCATTATATCATTTTTTTGTAACATAAGAAAAATGTATTAGTTAAAACCTTGTTAAAACAAATTGCCTGTTAAAAAATAAGTATTGCAAAAAATTGTCTGAAAAACTAAAAGATTAATTTTGTTAGAAACATATTGACAATTATTTACAACAATTATTGTATCATGAATAACAATCAAGAAAAAAAATGGAAAGCAAGCAGTGATGTACGTAAATATCTACTGTAAGTACTGACGATAAAATCGATTTTTTAAAATCCAAAACACCCTGTGGAGCAGAAAAAAAGTACCCCCTCCTAAACATTTTACATTTTAGATCATTTATTCTGATTGATTTTACCTTATTGGCGTTTTTTTTATCATATGGTGTATAGATATAATTGGTTTGCGGTTCTTGAAACCTTTTTTTCCCTGGTTTGAGGGCAAAACAGAGTCCCAGGACTGCAGGAGAAAATTAATAAAAATTTATCCTGTATACAAATACGTTTAAAATAAAGATTATTTAAACGTATTTGCCTGTATATCTCTACTGTATACAAATATGTTTAAATTTAAACGTATTTGGCTGTATATGAATTTTTATAGGCAACCAGTTATTCATTAATATTCTTGCGCCTTATGTCAAATCAGACATAACGCGCATTGTCATTTGTCAAGTTATTTTTGTCATTTTCAACTTGCACGGAGAGCAGGCGGTTCGCTGCGGTGTGATATCTCTAGATCGGTTCGTTTCAATGCAACACAGTCGGTGATAATTTTCGCGTTTTGTTTATAAAAAAATCGAATGCATTGTTTAAAAGTTCGAGGGCAACGAAGTAGCGCGCTGTGTCTGTGAAATGCACGATGGCAGTGTTAGTTCCGCACATAAACGGACACATTCAAAACCATTTGACCAGATCGCTGGAGAGAATATTGGAAGAGGCAAACCAAAGTGGCGAGCTAAAATTGAGCAACAGGAAACTTAAGGACTTTCCCAAGGCGAAGGATAAATATAATTTGAGCGATACAGTTATTGCAGGTATGATTCATTAAGATATTTGTTTGTATACATCTACGGTCTGCAATAGATACAGTTACATTATTATGATATAATAAAACAGATGTTTTAATGGATATAGCAGGGATAAAATGCTAGATATGATCTAATAAAAATAGCTGTTCAGCTCAAAATATTTATGAGAAAAATGTATTGTCAACAGAGGTGGTCATTTGATTCTTTCAATCGGTTAACTTCAGTTTTATTTGAATATTCGAACCGACTTTTGTATTTAAGTAAGCACATGCATATTTATTTAAGTGATAATTCAAAATTTAATATATTAATTAGGTTAAATATACAGAATCAAAACAATGAACACATTTGTTTAAAATTTCCAACATATTGCTTATAAAATAGACCAAAATAGTGTGTTGGTTGTACACAACTGGCCTTTTACTGAAGTAGATACCCATTAATTATTAATACATTAAAATAGTTAGGTACTTAGTAATGTTGCTAACATCACTGGATTGAGTATCTACCTATATTTATTTGAAGTTCCTAGTTCTTATTTATACTCATGCTTCTTTTTAATTATATTATTTATAAAATCTGTGATAAATCATCATTTACACATTTTTATTCAAAATTTAGACCTCTTAAAGAATACCACCGACAATACCATATAAGTACCTGCATAATTTCTTTTGGAAGACATAATTTTATCAACCAAACCAAACCAAAAGCCCAAAACAGTTTGCAGCATTTTTTTATCATATAGACTCAAATCTTTCATATGGAAATATTTTAATGTTCTACATCAATTTAGATATATTATTGTTTTAACAATAATAAACAAGGTGGTAAAAGATTAGGATCACAAGTTATAAGAGTGCTTTGTATTATGACAGATAAACAAAATTCTTGTAGGAAATCACATTTGAATATTTTTATCTGTCAAAGTCTTCCTGAAAGTACACTTGAATCTTGATTATAAAACGTTTTAATTCTAAGGTATATTTTTTAATTATGAAATTTTTGTATAAAAAAGTGATAATTGGGTTTATCTCAAAATCTAACACCTGTTAAATTCTTTTTTATTCGTTATTCTGTTAATGTGTGTATGTTATAACAATGATTAACAGCCTGCTACAATATTAAAACATTGTGCCCGATAATATAACGTGTGAAAGAAGATTTATGTACAAAAAGGTATAATGCTTTTGCTTAATTACATTTAATGCTGTTTTGTACAACGAAGAGCTTAGTAATTTCACTAATTGCATATTATCAAGAGTAGTAGTAATTTATTGTGAATTTCCTGGACATTTATTTACCTTTTCAGATCTTTTTATAAATTAATAGTTTGTATGTTGTATCTCGACCTGTCTGCCTATGCTTTTTTTAATAAATGGTTCTACTCTACTGTACCTATTTAACCAATTATTATTATCAAAACAAAATCTAATATTTTATTAATACAAAGCAATATTACATAATTGTCCACTTTTTTATTTCGATTATTCAGTATTAAAAAAATATTATAACAGAGCCGTTAACTGGTTATATGATAGGTAAATAATAAATTTAAATGATTCTTCTAATAATAGAGCTTCGCTATTTGATACTAAATATTTATTTATGTTAATGTAGTCGTAGTCTTTGAACTTCCGAAAAATTATGAGAACTACTATTTTGACACTAATAAATCAGTTTTTATAGTTAAGGAATAGCCCACACAACAACCTACGTCCAATTATTACCAAAAAGGCCTTAACAGTCGGGGATCTTGTCCCCTCGCGTTGGCCAAGGTTATGATGTTTCTCCTTGTTCACGGGTCGTATTGATCCCGCAGATATTCCCCCTAAATTTAGGGTTCCAACTCCAGAAAACACAACACACCAAGTAATTGAAAAGGGCCCACTGCCTAACAACGAAGACTGAACATACGACTATACAGGGTGTCAAAAAAAAACACTTATCAATAAATCAAAATTAAATGAATGAGACAAATTAACTAATAATAAAAAGACATAATAGGTACATAAAAATAAAAAAAAACACTTTCAGACTAAACAAATACAGGGTGAGTTTTCTGCGATGTTCTCTATGGGTATCTCGGAAACTACTAGAGATAGAGAGTCGGTTAAATGGGGAAAGAATTGCAGTTTTGTGGGCTCATAAATTTTAATATGCGCTTTTCAGATTTTTGAAAAAGTTCATGGCTTACTAGATATTTCGAAGAAAACAGATTTCGGCTATTTTAAAAATTGTTCTTAATTCCATTATAATCTATTTTAGACAAAAAGTTTTCAGATAAAAGTTGTAGAAAATCACATCCCTAATGAGTTTGTGTCCTCCATTTTTTTAAGCCATGAAGCCAAACCAAACCAAACCAAACCAAAACTGCAATTCTATCCCCATTTAACCGACTCTCTATCTCCAGTAGTTTCCGAGATACCTATAGAGAACATCGTAGGAAACTCACCCTGTATATATCCACCAGTTGGAGTTTAAACCATAGACTAAGGTTTAAACTATAGATTGCAGTTTACTGGCTTTGCAATTTTTAGGCTTGGAAATCTTAAGATTAACTACTACCTGAAAATTACCTATAAAACTGGCCCTCAGTACTATAAAATATTTTGATTAATTTTAAAAGCTATCTATTGTCATGTTATAAAGTGCATTTCAGAGTTTCCTGCATCTAAAACCGATCATCGGAATGCCGTTATTCAAGGGCATGTTACCATTTCGAGCAAAAATGTTCGCCAATTGTTTTAAATTATTTTTTAATTAGTAAAATCGATCACGCATTTAATTCCTTCACAATGGATTGGTATTGGGCAAGCAAGTACTCAGTGCCATTATTACCTATCGCTATTATACAACGATTTATTAGAAAGTACGTAGATAAGCCGGTGGTACCGGCTGTATTTTATGGATAAAATCTAGGTAATGGTACAACGTTCCTTATGAGTAATAAATTTTATGTTGCAGTTCTTATATTGTCGAATTGTGAAATGGCGACTTATAATAGGCACCTATCTACCTAGAGATAAAAGAGTTAAAGCTCTGAAATTACAAGATTTCGTCAAATTTGTTCATTGATATGGTGAAAAATGTAAAATTCGTTTAATCATAAATAAATATAATTTGGCAGGTTGTGAAATTTTAATTTTATCTCAGCTTTGCTCTATATTGTATAGTATACGCTATTCATTCAGGAAAGTGTGTTAATAATGATAACACTAGTTTGTTTGTTTTACATTTTTATACGGTTTTCTGAAATTACTGTGGAAATCGTGGAAATCATGGAAATATGTAAACATAGATGCATACGTATCATAAAATTTGCTATTTAACTAAGTTTATCAGAACGCCGATGATTCTAATAGACGTGTATGTTCTAAAGCCGGTCCCACACGATGTGGCAAACACCTTCCAACGTTGGACACATGAACATTTGCCACATTGTGTAGGAGACACACTTGTCAATTGCAATATTGTCGAAACATATGCCAAACGATGGCAGTTCAACGTTGGTTCCAACGTTGGAACCAATCCAACGGTGGTTCCAACGCTGCTTCCAACGTTGGACGCATCGTGTAGGACTGTCTCAAAACACTAGTCTTTTGGTTGTAGATATATTTAGATATTTTAAATAATAGTCTTAGATTTTTCTTTATTATTTTTGTTTTTTGCTTCTGGCGAAGGAGGGAGATGTATAAGTAAGTACCCTCTGAAATACATCAAATCCAAGGAGGCAATTGAGAAAGGTGGATATATCCTCTATTATAGATTCGGGATAATACCGGGATCGGGTCTAAGGGGAGACAGAGAGAAACAGAGAGGGAGGTGGAGAAAATGGAGACAGATCCTCCAGCCTCAACTATCCCTCAAATATTAGAATATTTGTTATTTAAAAACCTGTGAGTTTTTCGGAAAAACTCTTAAACACGTATATTTTATTTTGTTGTTTTACATATTTTAAGATTTTTTATAAATTTATACAGGGTGTTTCATAAAATATGACCATTGAGTAATCACGATTCTGCTTAAACTGCTTGACGTTTAAAGCTGATTTTTGTCAAACGGATTGACTGTGGGGTGTAGAGGTTCGATAAGGAGGGGTTTCTCGAATCTCAAATTCCAAGAGGGAAAACGCCCCTCAAATATTACAATATTTGTTATTTAAAAAACGGTTAGTCTTTCGGGAAAACGCTTGGACAAGCATAATTTATTTGTTTTTTTACATATTTTGAAATTTTTTCAAAAATCGTACAGGGTGTTCCAAAAAGTTTGGTTAATTTCTTAACCACGATTCTGCTTAAACTGCTTGACGTAAAAAGCTTATTTTTGGCAAACGAATTTTTCGAAAGTCAAATTCCAACGAGATGAAACTACCCCTCAAATATTACCAAGTTATATAATAATATCGCCATGTTGTTTTTTTTCATGCTGACATAAATGTGGAAAAATTTTATTCAGTTTGTATGTTAATGGAAATTCTTGCTTTGCTTTATCATCACCATTACAAATGATTAATTCGACGCGAACGAAGTCGCTGGTACACGCTAGTAGTCTTATAAATCATTCTTATCAGAATAAGTAAATCAAAGAATGAAGTCGGAATTTACAGATTGATAAATTCCTCTATTAGAAAAGTACTCTTTATGATAACAGAAGTCAAGAACAATCTATGAAATCAATGTCAATACAGGATATGGTTTAAAGTAAACTGCTGTAAATAAAAGTTCCAAAAAAAAACATTTAAGTCAATTTCCGAGTCAATTTCAATAATAGTCTCGAACAATTTCAAAATAGTCTTGTCCTGGCCGGTTAAAAGATGCCCAAATTGTATTTTTAATCATATCTATTTTTTTGCAAATGGAACGAGGGTGGATCATTAGCATATTTGGAAAAAGCATCTTTTTACGAATAATTAGGTACCACACACTTGATATTTCGAGTCAGGTTATCGTTATGAACCGCATTTTACAATTTCAAATAAACCATATCAGAAAATGTCAAAAGTT